TGGGATTTTATTTTATAACCACACTATTTTGGTTCCATTATTATTATTATTATTATTACTACAGTGCCAAGGAATGAATCCAGGGTCTCACATATGCTAGGCAAGTGCTCAGCCACTGGGCTTATTGTATTACTTTAATTGTGGTAAAATATACCCAACACAAATTTCCCACTTAGATTTTAACCATCTAAGTGTCCAGGTCTGTGGCACTAGGTGTGTTTGCATTACTATATAATCATCACCATCATTTACTTTCATATTTTTTATCATCTCCAACTATAACTCTATACCCCTTCAACAATTGGTCCCCATTCTCCCTTCCATCCCCTAGAAGCCACCCTTCTACTTCCTGTCTTTTTGAATATGTCTAGTGTTGGAATCTCATACACATGAACTCATACAATAGCTGTCCTTCCACGACTGGTTTATTTTGGATTAACAGGTGTCTCCAAGGTTCAGCTGTGTTGTAGCAAGTACCAGAATTTCCTTCCTTTTGAGGACTGGAGAATATTCCATTGCACACACAAGCCATACTATGTGGCTGTTAGGCTTTGCTGGCTTCCCCTTTGGCTGTTATGAATAGTGCTGATATAAGCATGAGTGTGCGAGTGTCTGTTCCAGCAGTCCCTGCTCTTACTTCTTCTGGGTGTATACCTACAAGTGGAATTGCTGAATCATTTCCAGTCAGATTTCTTGTTTTGTTTTTTTGGGACAGAGTCTCTGTAAATTACCCAGGGTAGCCTCAAACTCTTAATCATTCTGCCTCATCCTCCTGAGTGCTGGGATTATAGATGTGTGATACCATGCTGGTTCCAGTAGGATTTTATTTATTTTTTATTATTGTTGTACTGGGGGTACATTGACATTTACAAAGGTTCTTACAATATATCATACTTGAATTCACCCCCTCCGTCATTCTCTAAGGACTATGGGAGGTCTTGGGAGCTTGTGGTCTTGCTTTAGTGGGACTCCTCTGACTGCTGGGAGGGGCTCTGATTGTGGCAGCGAGAAAGTGGGAATGGGGAAACCTAGGAGAAGGCAGGTGTGGAGGTTCAAGTCTGTAGCCTGCCTGCAGAGGCCACATGGAGCAAATAAATAAATGAGTGCATGTATGGCAAGACATGAGCTGAGGGTGTTATGATTACAAGAAAACAAAACAGAACAACGATGTCTCTGGCATTCTTTCTCTCTCTCTCTTTTTTTTTTTTCTTTATCTGACAGGGTCTTGCTATGCAGCCCAGGCTGGCCTAGAACTCTGCATCTTTGTGCCTCAGCCTCTCAAGTGCTGGGATCACAGGCACACACCACCTTACCTGGCTTTGCATTCTTCTTTAGACTGTTCACCCAGCTCCAGGTCCCCAGGCCGCCAAGGCTTTTTACACTCTTGTCAGTTGGGGGAGTTTGGTGCAAGGCCCAGAGCCTCCTGGTTTCAGAGTTTGTTTTTGTACAAGCGCCTCAGATGGGGGGTGGGGGGAAGGGGCTTAAGGCGGAAGGTTTGGGTTTGCAGGGAGTGGTTTCCTCTGTGGCTGAATAGTTGCACGGAAGGGTTGGTGGTTAAGGGCAGAGCTGAGCCCTTTCTGTCCAATCACAGTTGAGACGTCTGTCACAGGTGACCTCATCCCTCTAGCCCCCAGTTTCCGCTCTTGAAAATGGTGGACTTATTTGGTTATTCTATCGTCTACTTCCTTTTTTTTTTGTGCTGGGGCTGGAAGCTGGGGCCTGGCACACGCTAGGCAAGCTCTGTACCCCTTAGCCACACCTCCACCCCACTTCCTTCATGAGAGAGCAGAGACCTTTCTTTTGTTTACTGCTGGGCCTGCAGCACCTGACACATGACAATAAATATATTTACCTTACTCATTTTTTATTAAAAACTTTTTTGAGATAAGGTCTCCATATTCAGTCCAGGCTGATCTTCAACTTGTGAGCCCCCTGTCTCAGTCTCCTAAGTGCACGTAACACCACATCCAGCTTCTTTAAAAAATTTAAAAATCAGTTTTTATAGAGCAGAGTAATTGTCAGGCTCAATGCATTTAAAAATACATACTTACACTTTGATGTATTTTTAAATGCATAGGTAGGTATTTTTAAGTGTAGGTGCTTTTATGTGTGTATTTAAAATTTTGTGTATTACCACCCGGTCACATTATAGACCATTTCTAGCAGGTTCTCTTGTGCCCCTGCCTAGTCAGTATCCCCCAAGGTTAACCATTATTCTGAGTTTGATTCACATATTAGTTTTTCTTTTTTTTTCTTTTTTTTGGCAGTGCTGGGGTTTGAACTTGGGGCCTCACGCTATATTTTTACCTGTTCTTAAAACACCATAGAAATGGGATCATGAAGAATGGTCTTTGTCGTGGCTGCCTTCTTTCATCCCTCATTAGATTCTATGGGATTCATTCATATGGTTGCTATAAGCATTTTTCTACTTTGGTGTTCTGTTTTTTTTTTTTATTATTATTTTTGCAGCACTAGGGTTTGAACTCAGGGCCTCACACTTGCTAGGCAGGCGCCCTATCGACTGAGCCACTCTGCCAGCTATAAGCATTTTTGTACATGGTCCTTGGTGGATATAGCAGCCCTTTCTCTTGAAACTGCTATTGTCACCGTAACAGCACTTAGATTCTGGCTTAGTAGAAATCAAGATTTCATTCCAAAGAAGTTGTGTTTACATTTCCTGATGAGTAATAATGATGACTATTTTTTAGGATTGCTTAATTAAAAAAAGAATTTGTTGAAAGAGCAAATGAATTAGTAAAGAGGATAAGAATGGAAATAAATCTAACTTTGTCTCCCTAAAATGTGTCAGTGGCTCCCCTTTGCCCCTCCTGCGGCCAGCAGGATCCTGCATGCTCTGGTCCCCACTCCCTCCTGTCTCAGACCGTTTCCTTCTGCTCACCTCTCCGGACTCCTGTCTTCAGGCTCCTCCAAAGATTTGTCTGCTTTGTGGCCTTCCCATAGCAGCTTTCTTCAGCCTGTACAACTCAGGCCTCGAACCCAGACCCTTCTTGTTTGGACTCAGCTCAAAACCCTCTTCTTCCAAGAAGCCTTCTTGGTTTCTACCTGCAGCAGGACAGGACCTCCTTTAGGTTCTGTTATGCTCAACTTTTCTCCCTGGCTCTTATCACAGTTGTAAATACTTTCCTGAATGCAATTATTTGATTATTATATCTGCTCCCCTAAAGTTGGATATGTTGGTGGACACCTATAATCCCAGCACTCAGGAGGCTGAGGTAGGGAGAATGGAGAGTTGGAGGCCTGTTTGGGCTACATAGTGAGTTCTAGGCCAGTGTGGGCTATACCATAAGACCATGAATTAAAAAAAAAAAAGATTGAAAGAAAAGAAAAAACCCCAACTCAACTCTGATTTCTTTGATCAGCTCCTAGCCTGGTTGGTGTCAGTGACTCATGCCTGTAATCCTAGCTTCTTAGAAGGCAAAGATCAGGAGGATTTTGGTTTGATACCAGTCTGGGTAAATAGCAAATAGTTTGCCAGACCCTATCTCAAAAAAAAAAAAAAAAATCACAAAAAAAGAGCTGGCGGAGTGTTTCAACTTAGTAGAGTGTTTGCCTAGCAAACATGAGACCCTGAGTTCAAATCTCAGTACCATCATAAAGAAAAAAAGGTTCTGAATAGTTCCTAGGAAGACACCTGGCATATCTCGTAGATGCTAAATGAATGTCCACTGTATGAACATCTAAGCTACAGCACAGCATTGTGACCTGAAAGTATTATCCCTTAAAAACTCACTTGCCCTGAGGGGACCTTGGCCAATCAAAGAACCAGGGGAAATTCTATCTTCTTCCCTCCGCCTCCTCCAGGTTCTTTGGAGGGGAGGCTCAAACTCAAACACAGTCCTGCTTTATTTGCTGCAGCTGTTTTGTGCCCATGGTTAATGGAAGTCATACATCAGGCAAGACACCAAGGAGGAGGAGAGAGGACAGGCATTGTGGAAAACATAGGGAAGGCTTTGGCCTCCAGGCTCCAGCTCCTGTGTCTCTGGCTGCTTGAATGTCAAGCAGTGCTAAGGCAGTTTGACACAATGGTGAGCATTACGGCTTTTTCTCTCCATCCCAACCAGAGCTCCCATTCACAATTGGGTTTAGTCATTTACTATCTAATTATTCCCCAACAAACGACTGCCTCTCTGTGCCTCAGCCTCCCACCTGCAAAATGGGAAGAAGTACTCACTTAGCGGGTTGTGCAAATTATGTTAAGTCATGTAAATCCATGTAATTTATGCAATATGTAAATTGATAAGCACAAGGCCTTGGGAAGCTCAGGTAACTGTAAGCTACTGTTACCTTTCTAGTCCTCAGTTTCTTTGCCTCTAAAATGAAGATTAATAACCAGGTTATTTCCTAGGTGGTGCTTGTCAGGCACAGGTGTTTGAGGGCAGCAGGTGTTTGGGATGGAGATCAGGGCCCTTGTCTATCTTGCTCTGAAGTTAGCCTGGTTCAGAGGTTCGAAACCCACTTCCACTATTTGCTAACAGAGAGGCCTTGAGCAAGTCACCCTGCCTCTCTGAGTTGCAATTTCTCCGTCAGTGAAGGGTAAGTTAATAAGAGTCTCAGCCAGGTGTAGTGACACAGGCCTATGATCCAAGCTTCTCCAGAGGCTGGGAAAGGAGGATCGAAAATTTGAAGCTTGCTTGGGTTACAGAATGAGTTCAAGGCCAACCTGAGTATCCTAGCAAGACCTTGTCTTAAAATAAAAATATGCAAGGCAGTAGTTCAAGTTCCAATACAGGAAAAAAAAAAAAAAAAGCTTGCACTCACTCCTGGCTGTGTGAGCTTGGGTGGGGACCAACCGCCACTGGGGTTTACACCCTAGCCCTGCCAGGTGAGAGCCAGGTGGAATCTCCACCTGGAGAAATCCTTTAAACTCTCCGCACCTGGTGCTCTTCAGGCACGAAGGGGAAGTCATTGCTTTTGGATCAGATGAGGACACAGCCCCTAGCAGCTCAGCACGTGATGTCCCCTTGTTATTACTGCCGTTATTAATGGCACGGGGAAGCCGATCGCGGGGTCTGCACATACACAGCTCCTGGAAGGGTGACAACCCCTCCCCGGGCCTGCGCGACAGCGGGGTTGGTGGGAGGTGCGGTGTGCGCGCACGCGACGGATGGGGGCCGGCGGACGCGCGCGCGCGCGGGCCTGCAGGCGCCCAGGGGCGCGCTGCTCACGCCTGCCGCGCGCGAGGTGACCGGCGCGGGGTGGGCGGGGCCGGGCGGGGCGGGGCGGGGCGCCCGATCGCGGGGTCTGCACATACACAGCTCCTGGAAGGGTGACAACCCCTCCCCGGGCCTGCGCGACAGCGGGGTGGGTGGGAGGTGCGGGTGCGCGCACGCGACGATGGGGGCCCGGCGAGACGCGCGCGCGCGCGGCCTGCAGGCGCCCAGGGGCGCGCTGCTCACGCACTGCCGCGCGCGAGGTGACCGGCGCGGGGTGGGCGGGGCCGGGCGGGGCGGGGCGGGGCGCCGCATCCCGGTGACGCGGGCAACCGGGCGGCGTTGCGGCTCCGCTGCGCTCGCTCGGCCGCCCTCCCGCCGCCGCCACTGCCGCTGCCGCCGCCGCCGCCGCCGCCGCCGCCTGCCGGGCCCGCCCGTCTGTCCGCCCGCCCGCATGGCGCTCCGGAGCTTCTGCAGCGCCGATGGCTCCGACCCCTTCTGGGTACGTGCGGGGGCCGCCGCGCCGCGTGGGGCCTCGGGGAGGAGCGGGGGGCTCCGGGGCGGCGCGGGGAAGCGCGGGCCCATGGCCACCCCGGCTCCCGCCGCCCACCCCGCGCCCCGCTCTACAGCCGCAGGGTTCCCCTTCCCCCCGGAAGACAACCGATGGGGGACATTTGGGGGACTCAGTTCCGGGGACGCAGGGCCGGGGACGTGGGGAGGGGTGGAGAGGGCATGTAGGGGGAGGAAGGGGCCTCCCCGCTTTGGGGTTCCCTCCACTTAACCAACCTTCCAGGAAAGGGAGGCTCTGGAGAAGGGGGCAGCCAGGGTGGGTGGGGGGACTCCCCTGATTTCTGTTCTCTCTTGTCCTATGGGGATTGGGTGTCCCCCCCATTCACCAAAACACCCCCATTACTACACGGCGGGCTGGAGAGGGGCCCACACTGGAGAAAGGTACTTCCCACTGGTTGGATTGGGGTTTGCCAACCCGCTCCCTCAACACTTTTACATCCCCGTTACTTTCTGTGGTTACATATTTTTGTCATCTTTTCCTTACTTTCTGCCTAATGTTCCCAGGGAAGTTTAGGGAACCTGGGAAAAGCCAGGGCAGAAGGTAGGTGCTCTGGCTTGTCCTGCCTGGCTCCCCGGTCAGGTTTGGGGTACATCTGGAGGCGTCCAGGACCTTGGTACCCATGGGAAGTGTCTTCCAGGCCGTAAGGTGCCCAGGCTCCTCTCTGGGGATGCCCTGGGGCTTTGTGCGCCTTCCCCAGGCGGTTTTCTCCCAAAACGTGCCGTGCCCTGGGTCCCGGCTCCCTCCTTAATCCCCAGGGTTGGGGCTTCAGCGTCCCTGTAATGCGATTTGCCCCTTTGTTCCTGCAGGTCACTTCAGTGTCATGCTGTCTTGATTACTGGTAAACACAATAGGCAAATCAGGACACAATCGCGTTTTCTTTTTGTTTAGGAACGGGAAAAACACCTTGGTCTCTTCCCAGCCAGTGATTAGCATCCACAAACACCTTCTTGACTGTTTCTGTGGTCTTTTGCTTGAAGGCTGCATTTGGGGTGTTGAAAAGTGGCTCTCGAGGGCCCCACACTGGAAGGCTTTATTTATTTATCTTTTGGGGGGTGCCTTTTGATTGAGCAACCAACCGTACGTTGATATGTCTCCCACTTTTAAGCCCATGGGATTGGAACTTTCTCCTGGGCTAAAAATAGCTCATTAGCCCTGCATTTGGGGTCTGGATGGAAGTGGAGCCCATCTGCTCTTTAGGGGGCGCCTGGGGGCATCTTGGTCCTGTACCAGGTATAGTAAGAGCAAGACCATTACCGCCACCGACTTCCTCGTGGGGCTCAGGTTTAGTATTGCATGAGTCTGGAGTAGTTTTGTTTGTTTTCTTAAACCGGGGGAAACATAGGTGCCTGTGAGCTAGATTCTGTAATCAGGATGTATTTTATTGATGACAACTGGCGATTAATGACTAATGAGTATGTTTGGGGCGTTCTCTATTGATTTCACTAAGAAGCCAGTCCAAGACTTGTTGCTACCGAAATTGCTTGATTGACTTGTACTTAGGATAGTGGCCTTTACCTGCTCGATCTTGGCCTGGTGCCTTCTGTCCCTCCTCCTTCAGCTTCCTAGACCTGTCTTATGTCCCAGTTTCAGGAGGTGCCATGAGTGGGCAGCGAGTCCCAAGATAGCACAAAGCAGGTGGCTTGTGTTTTTCCAAGACTGAGTGCTCAAGGCCGGGGGAGAGACTGCTTTCCCTTGCCAGGTGACTGTGTGACTTTGAGCAAGCCACTTTGCCACTCTGTGCCTCAGTTTTCTTATCTGGAAAATGGGGGCAGGGGCTAATACAATGTTCCAGTCTGTTGTCAGTGAGCTAATCAGATTGAGCAGCCCAGTTTGTCCCCAGTGCAGAGATAAGCGATAGTTACCATTTTCCACTTCCCTGTCCTCCACTGGACTCACTTTTTGGTTGGCTGGTAGGGGGTGGGTTAGGCTGTGGAGGCTGCTCACCCACTTGTAATTGGCTCCTCTTGTGGCCAAGGTTATGCATTTAGAAGTCAAGGTCAGGTGTCCTCAGGTGGCATTCTCAGACCCTTACTCCTGGACAGTTGTCTGTCTCTGAGGCTCCCAGGACCAGGAAATGATCCTGGTGAGGAAAGTTCTGGTAACTTACAATCTTCCTTTAGGCAAATGTTCTGGGACAGAAAAGAGGAACTTTGTTATCTGAATGAAAATAGGGACTGAATTCTGGTCCTTGGCTTGCTTTTTCCCTTGGGGATGTGGGGTGGCTTTGAGTGGTCAGAAGCCTGGACCTCTGCTTAGGAGACTGTTTAGACAGGGTCTCCCTATGTTAGCAAGGCTGGTTTTGAACTCATGATCTTTCCAAGTGCTGGGCTTACAGGCATGTACTACCACTCCTGGCTGTCAGTCACTTAAAAAAAAAAAAAAGTACCAATGTGTTTCATGCTCAGTATAGAAAAGTCCAGCAAACAGCTTGGCCAGCAGTGTATTCCCCAAGTTCAAATCCTGGTTCTGCAGCTAAGGCGATCCACTCTCCATGCCTCAGTTTCTCCTGTAGGGTAATGGCGAATGGTGGGAATTTAAGGAGCAGATTCTTGCCAAGCATTGAGAATGCTGCCCCCGGTACACAGTTAGCACTCAGAAGATGCCAGTGGCTGTCACTAATTGCAGTTCTCTAGTTAACTCTTTTTGAGACAGGTCTCACTATGTAGCCCAGGCTGGCCTGGAACTCACCATCCTCCTGCCTCTTCCTCACAAGTGCTGGGATTACAGGCGTGCACCACTGCACTGGGCTTCTACTTAATTTTTTTTTTTTTGGTCTCGCCTCTGTTTGCAAACTGAAAGACCTGCAGGTCATGGAGTGGGTAGGTCCAGGGGCTGACTTTGTGGCATCCTCCAATGCCAAACTCAAAATACTCGACTTAGCGGTAGGAGCATCTTAGTGGCTGTGAGAGCCACATGTTTTTCCTCCTCCAAGGACTGTTGGTTTTCAAACTCATCCCATTACCTTCAACTACTTCCTGTCTTCTTCCCCTTTTTGTCCCCCCACCTTCCATACTCTGTCTCTCCCATCCTTATGGATTCTTCCTTGAACCTGACGGTCCTCTCCTCCACTCAGCAGACTGCATGGATGTCCAATCTGAGCTCAGCCCAGAATAGCCACAGGAGGTAAATGGCCAAGAGGAGCCTCTAAGATGGCAGGGCCGGGTCTCCGGGGTTGCTCTTGTGCCTTGCAGAAGGAAGCCACAGCTGCCTGGACAGCTCTGACTCACCTGGTCCAGGTCTCCTTCCCCTCCCCCCCCCCAAGCTGGATTGGCTCCTTGGCGATGGTCTTGGAGGCGCCCTGCCTTTGAAATGTGGTAGGGTTGAGGACAAAGTTCCTTTCTGCTTGTGGCCTTGGCTTTTAGGAACAGATCTCTTCCCCTGGTGACTCCTGGGTGTCTTCACCTCATGGAGCCCCAGGTGAGCTCTGCTCCCCCAGCCCTCCGGTAACAGGGAAGGAAGGCGCGGCTCCATCTGTCCCTCCTCACATAGGCCAAATGCTGCGGCATTTCTTTGACTTCTTTTCAACCCTCCCATCCCATATTGGATCCTGTTCCTGCAAATTGTATCAGAATATGCCTGCTTCTCACGCCTGCCTTCCCAGCCTGAGCCCTGGTGCCTCTCCTCTCTTCATTCACCTTTGACATCTCTCCCTCCCCACAGTATAATTTCAGCCCAGCAGCCAGAGGGATCCTGTTAAGATCAAGTCGGGGTAAAAGCCACTGGCCCCCATTGTCTCTCTGACCTACATTTCCTACTACTTTCTGTCTTCCAGACCCGCCTGTACCCCAGGGCCTTTGCACTTGCTATTTCTGAAGCTTGGGATACTCCCTGACCTTCATAGCCTGTTCACATGTCACTGCAGGGTACTTTTCTTTACATATCCAGTTCTCTGTTCCACACCCTTTTGCCTCTTCCTGCCTTCTCATAATCACCTACTTTATTTATTGTGCTTACTCACTGTAGATTTCTACCAAAGCTCCATCAGGGCAGGAATTTTTGCCTGTGTTTGTTTCTGGCTGTAATCCCTGAACCTATGAATGGTGCACAGTATTTGTTCAATGAATAAATGACCTAATGCACTAGGATGGCTTTCCAGCTGTGTTGAAGTGTCTCTGTGAGACTGTCACTGACCTGCCTGGAATTAGGGACTCAGATAACTGATCCCTCAGTACTTTGCAGTACTGACGTTTGAACTCAGGCCTTGCTCTTGCTAGGCAAGTGCTCTACCACTTGAGACATGCCCCAGCTCTTAGACTGCTCAGATTTTTGTCCTTCAGAAGGTCCCATTGGAGTCTTGTCTGTCTCTTTTCCCCAGGACCTCATGCTCGCACACAGTTGGCGCCATCTCCATTTGAGTTTGAGTGTCTGAGATACGTGTTCTAAACTGGGGTTTAGATCTAGCCTAGAGGTCGGCTGCCGTGGCTTTATTTTAATTGTATGAATTGCTGTCATTTTTAGTATTTACTTATTGGAAGACTTCACAGAAACATCTGGATTTCTTCTCTGAAAAAATCCGATAGCTTTGGGTCTCGCTGGGTTCTCTCTTTTTGAGGACAGGTCTCGGGCTCCCACACAGACCCTCCTCCTCCTCATTGTTGCTTCTGGGGTAAGGCCATGTGCTCTTCGTCGTCTTTTCCTGTACTTTCTCACTCCTAGTTAGTATTTGAGCTGACGGCATCTCCTGCTTTGTAGTCCAACGTTTAGGTGACTGGGCTGGGCCCATCGGACTTCATAGGCTTTTTAATCTTGTCTTTGCTACAGTCTGAGTCTTGATAGTTAGCCCAGTCTGGCCTCCTATTCAGGGTCTTCCGCCTCAGTCCTCTGTGTGCTGGGATTGTAAGCCTGCCCTGCACCATCATACCTAGCTCATGACTTTTTTTTTTGTGGGACTGGAGTTTGAACTCGGCTTCATGCTTGCAAAGCAGGTGCTC